CCATAATTGTGATCAGGCTGAGAAGTACATAAAGTATGTTCTAAAATATTCTCTATTTTGTATATTACATTTGTTTCTTAATTATTTTCAGATTAGCAACTTACTATTTTTTATATATTTGAGTTACAGAAAGTTTGAAGATGAATTGACAGAAGTAGGGGTGCAGGCTGCAGACCTTGGAAGAAGGACAGAGCATGGATTTGCGAGTTGGTTCAGGAATTATGTTAGTATCTATCTTATTCTTATCTTAAATTATTAGTTATCTTGTAGATAACTATTTTGACGCTGAGACATTCCTTTTTGCAGATGTGGAGGTTGAATGCATCAGAAGAGGTAGATGATGATATATTTGCCCTAGCTTGTGGCCCTGACCTTAGAGTTAGATCATACTCCACATGTGTTGTCAATGGTGTGCGGTACTGCACCGTCGAGCGTGACAAAAACAAGAAGACACAAAACTCCGGGGTGGCCTGTGCAAGCTCATACAGAAGTGAGATGATTGATTTTTATGGTACATTGAAAGAGATTATTGAGTTAGAGTACCACGCCAAGGGTGGTGGTACAAAAGAACTGTTGTTCTTTTTAGATGTGACTAGTACAAATTGGATGGTAAGCATACTGCAGAAGGGATGATGGGTTTTGTAAAAGCATCAATATTGGCAGCCTGTGGTACAAGAAAGACTGTTTATTTTGGCAACTCAAGCTACATGGTTTTTTATTTGCCGAGATATTAAGAATGGAACAAATTGGCGGATTGTCCGGACATTTAAGCATAAATCATTTGTACAATGTTTCTGAAATAGATGGTGTCGTATCCTTTCTTTGCACCCTATCAAGAAGCGGACATGTCTTTGTGGACACGCGCAGAAGACCGAAGTTTCGAGATCTTGCCCGACATGCCTTTGAACAGAGTTGATGAGGCTGGCCTTCTTGTTGATCTGCTTGAGGTTGCTCGACTTAGAAAGGAAAATGAATCAAAGACTACTAGTGAAGATGAGGGTGACGAGGTAGAGGATGACACACTGATGGAGTACTTGAGTGAAGAAGAAGCTGTCCCTGTTGAGGTTGATAGCGATGATGAGTAGTTTAGCATTTGTCATGTCCGAACTACATATTAAATGGTTGAAGGTGGACGCCTTCTCCAGTAGCATCTGTTTGACCGCGGGCACTAGGTAGTGCTCCCAATTCTATTCGCGTGTGCTCCCAAGACCGATCGGTGGACCTTTCCTTATATGCCTTTGGTCTATGAAGACCGTGTCTACGGAGGAATTCAAAACTAATCTTGTCAAGATTTTTTCTTTCGTGTCATATATTCTTCTTATGTACTCATCATATATTGGAATGGAGTTGATCGATGTAGAACATCTTATATGATTACTAGGTAGTTTCTTGAAGCATTACTAGACATCAATGGGTAGTCACCACAAAATCACCATCATGTGTACCATAACACGCTTGAGTCGATTGATCTAGGTACCTATCTAGAGATGAACCTCTAGGAATGGTACAAATCATTTGGTACTCAAGACCAAATCACACTAAGCGGGATAAGTTTGAGTCGAACACTTATGAAACCATCAACTTTTGAAATGGAGTTGATTATCGAAGTAAAACATCTTATTCAATTACTAGACATGAACGGCAACAGGTTAATATAGATTCTTCATCCAACATGAATGACAAATGTCCTCTTTGAAGAAAGTCATACTCTTGCATAAAGCTTGTGTTGCTTCTTCACTCAACAACGCGTGATCTCCCATCTCTTTTTTGTTGTACAATGCCTTATGTCTTATAGGTATGGATGAAAACGGTACGGATATTTATTCGACCGTCCGTTCGACCGAACAAATATGAACACCTATCTGGATAGTTACTCGGATATCCGTAATTTTTTTCGGATACGGATACTAAAACGGATATCTTAGGCGGATATCAAATACGGATGTAATATCATCGATATCCGGCAGATATCGGATAATCCGGTTAAGTATCGGATATATCCGGATATTTAAAAACGGATATTATCCGGATATTATTCAAACGACCTTGGATGGAGAAATGATCAAAATAAAAATTGTAGATCTCAAAAAGTTATGAAACTTTGTTGTTTACAACTTTTTCGTTTGAAATCATTTAGTGCTTCAAAATTTAAACCGTCCAAACTTTCTCAAAAAGTGTTGTTTTTTCATTTGACCAAATTTGACTTGGTCAAATTTGCTCAAATGAGACACTAAATGACCTCAGATGAAAAAACTCTGAATCCCAAGTTTGATCATCTCAGCAAGATATACAATTGTTACATAGCTCATTTTCCCATTTGAGAAAGTTTTATCAAACACTAGTCACAAATTCTTGAATCTCATATAGACTTTCTGAAACTATGTCACACACTTGTGAAATTTGAACTACATTTTGTTCAAACTTTCTCAAATGAAAAAATAGCCTATATAAGGATTGTAGATCTTGATGAGATGAACAAACTTGATATTCAAAACTTTTCAATTTGAGACAATCTAGGGTTCCGAAAACTAGTTTGTAAGCATCGAAATTTAAAAATCACAAATTTGAACCATCCAAACTATCTCAAATGGAAAGTTGACCAAAACAATAATTGTAGATCTTGATGAGTTGAACAAACTTGGTATTCAAAACTTTTCAATTTGAAGTCATTTAGAGTTCATAATACTAGAGTCAAAGTGTTGTTTTTTCATTTGACCAAATTTGACTTGGTCAAACTTGCTCAAATGAGACACTAAATGACCTCAGATGAGAAAACTCTGAATACCAAGTTTGATCATCTCAGCAAGATATACAATTGTTACATAGCTCATTTTCCCATTTGAGAAAGTTTTATCAAACACTAGTTATCCGTTCGTATCCGATCCGTTTTCATCCCTACTTATAGGCATCCAACCCTCCTTTTTCCGCTAAATGATATGACTAAATCGGAGATTGAGCGACATCAAGTTTTTCTTCTTCGTTTCATCATGGGTGGGATATCGTCGCCATCTCTATTGTCAACAACTACCACAACGATTACTAAGCAAGAAATGTGGGTGATCGATGTAGAGTATGTTCCAGGAGTACTATACATACATAGTACGATGGTGTTGATTGATCTACATACATAGAGAACCTCTGTGGTTAGTAGAAGTTATTTGGTACTTACTATATATAATCACCACCAAAACAATTTTGACACTAAACTTTAAAACATGTTCTATTATAGATCACCTTGGGACTAATATAGATTATTGGGCTTAACATGTCTAAGCAATTTGATAGCTAAACTTTAAAATTTTGGTTATTCCCTAAACAAGTAAGTACATCGTAATCCAAATTTTGGTTATCACCTAAACAAGTAGGTCCACAATATTCAAAATTTGGTTATTATCTGGCACTATTTTATTATTTCGATAGCTAAGAAAAAAATAACAGAAGAAAAAAAAGAGGCACCCTGACAGCAGGGCTACTCGAAAAATTACATACGCATACGAAAATTTTCGTGGTGGCGGCCTTCCCACCTCCAATATTTGGCTACGAATTTACCATTATGCCCCGCCATCCGTGCATCCCGCAAATGAAACGGTGGGGATATTTTGGTAATATTGCAGCGCCATATATAATCTGGCTCCGCCGTCTCGCAGGCAACGGCGCCACCAAATCCCCCCAAATCCTCCAATTCGCCCAGCCAACGCCGCTTCACCATCCCGCCCGCCGGCCCGGCCCAGCCTACAACAAGCGGCCTCAATGGTGAAGGTGATGAGAGCGTCGAGCGCGACCGCCACCATCCCGCAGGCACCACCGATGTCGCCGAAGAAGAGGGGCAGGAAACCAGCGAAGGGGCCACGGCGGGGAGAGCATGTTGAAGGTGAATGTCTCTCCTGCACCTTCTATTTTGGGCGATCTAATTTTGGCGGAGGGGGATGTGGTCGCATGTGCCCCATGAGATGGAGCTGTCCCTCCTCTTCTCCGTGTTTCGGTGACGTACATTCTTTGTAGAGTCAGAGTGCTATTGGGGCAGGTGATGGACATATAGGAAATGGTTCACCACCTGGCTAACTCTTTCTGTACATTAGCGAAAAATTGGGGAAATCAGGGGAGGGATGTTTGCTGGGTTACCTCACTAGTATTTTCTCCTCTTGGTTTATTATGTGGAATTGTGGATGTGCTTGAAAAGTTTGGGAATTGTCGGTGTGAGATTAGTAATGGAGGGTCCTGGTAGGAAAGATAATCTGCATGCTCCTCACAATATAAATTAGTTTACAAGTGAGGTCTTTTCACTATAACATCTTCGACATCTGCACTCTTTGTTCCTTCTCATTGCGTAAGCTCCGATCAATCCTTATTTACTCCTACGGATGAGAAAGTGTATGCGCAACAACGCATACATGCGAAACTAGGACTTCTGTGTTAGCTCAACTGTGTGAGAACACTACTATTTCCCCGTAAAACGGCGGCAAAGCAGGACGTAGAAGACTCGGTTCGGAGTACAATGGTGAGGATGAGGCTAATGGTGATGCCCATCTAAGTGATGATGACTGGAACCTCCTACTTTATCATCTAAGGTGCTAGTTATTCCATAGTGTCAAATCTTAATATGTGCTTTGCTTGCTAATTGCATCTAATGTTTATCTCCCATTCTGTATGTTTGATTGGTTCTTTGCGAAGAAGACAACAACAAAGAAGAGGAAGACAGGTGCTAAGAAGGAACAACCTGGGATGCAATCTAGTGTTGTCACAAGGGGAATGAAGAATCGTCCGGTGATGTTAATGCAATGAATAATCAAGCTGAAATCCCTAATCAAAGCTACAGAGGAAGGTTAATCGACTACATTATTGTAACAAATCGAACTCAAATTTAGAGACAACATTCCAAAGTACTATTACTAACTCTATATTGCATTGTAGCTGATGCGGTGAGCAAAATGGCTGCACTGGTGGAGATCAGCATGTACGACTGAGCTGAACTGGATGGACACACTCCAAATGGCGCCACAATGAATGATGTCAATGAAAATGGACAAACACAAAGTTGCCAACATCATTTGAAGGTGTGTATTTCTAAGTCTTGCACATTGTAATTCCATACCCAACATAGGACAGCAAGTATACTAACACAACTCCTTCGTAGATGACCTATTTTATGAGGAGAACAGGACGAGGGACCTAGTATTGGGAGGAACTTGTTCGGATGACTCGCTCGAGGAAGAAGAGACTTCCTTTGGTTATTGAGCCAGGAAGAGAAGACCAAACTCGGTGATGATCGCTGCAAAATTTGCAAGCTGAAAGTGCAACATTGCGAGAAGACAAATTGTTCCAATATTTCCACATTGGAAGGAATACAAGAAGTATCCTAAGATGATCGACGCGCGTACATATCGAGAGTTGTTGTAAGTGTTCAAACTTGCCCCTTTCCCTTTGTTTATTTGCAACATTAAGATTGTGCATTCAATAACAATTGGCAATGTTGTTTATCGTCACCGATCAAAGTTTCATACGGATGCTGATTCATTACCTATGAAAAAAAGCATGTGCGGCTATCTTTGAAGAAAGCTGTTTTGCTTGAGCGCTACAAGCTAAAAAGAGGTATTTTGATGCTTTGCCACTACATCCGGTGCCCAAAACATCTCCCTGTGGACACAATGACTAATGAGCAATGGGATAAACTTGTGGAACATTGGAAAAATGAGCAAAAATGGTAAGATCATCCAACTTTTCCAATTTCATCATGTTTGATGTCATTTGTGCTTAGCAATGAACCGTATTCTTTGTAGGTGACTTGTGAGAAGAATAGAGAGAATGAAGCAAAGTGCAGTTCCATCGGACCACCCTTTGGTTCTCGCAGCTATGAAATGCAAATTGTAGATTTGGTGAGTACAACTCATTGTCACTTTCAACTAGAACATGTTGCTGTTGGTTGTGAGGTCTTTTCACTAGAACATGCTGTTTGTGAGGTCTTTTCTTCTCTGCATATTTAAAAGAGCTTTGTATGTAGCTATGGCACAAAGATTAGTAATAAGGTTGTGGTACTGATTTAGCTCATGCATTTATGATTTTCATTCTATCAATTCCTCGTGTTTGACCTTGCACCATATCTGAACCTTGACATATGTTTACGAGTCGAAGCAGCAGATGACATCATGTTTTGTAAAGTCATGCCTGAAACAATTTTATCCTGTACAACCTAAATTTAAATTTTGAATCTGAGCTAGAGAAGATTATCCTGTACAACCTCTAAATTTGTATGATAATAGTAAAAGGATGGACAAGTCTCTGATGAGTTTAAAAGCATCCCTAAGTTCCTATCTTTCAAGGCCACCTTAATAAGAACAAAAATTTAGAAAAGATAAATGGATCAATCAATCCTCAACTATGGAGAAAATGCTAGAAACTTCAGTTTATTCTTTGGTATAAATTATATGCACTATACCATAACAGAGGACCACATCAGAGCAGATATCTTAAGTCGTAACCACACCGTAAAGCAAAGATACCTTTTTCTGTCCCCTATTTCTTTCAGGTCCTCGTCAATTAAATCATCAATATTTTTTTTCACTAGACTCTTTTGGTTTATCGGTGGACTCCTTTAGTTCATCGAGTTTCTTTTTGCACGGTGCTTAGAAACCGGAGGATCTTCCACACGTTGCTTTTTTTCTTTCGGTTCATCGCCAGGATCGCTTGTTCCTCATTGTCCTTGCTTTCATGGTAGAGGTATCAAGTACCTCCTGTTGGTTCTCGAGATGGAGTGGTATTGTCCTTATCATGCGGTATCGAGGTATCAAGCACCTCCTGTTGCTTCTCAGATGGAGCGGTTTCACCTTTCTCCACATCATTCCCAATCCCATTGTCGGCTTCCTCACCAGAGTGGTCTTCATCCTCATCATCTGAAGAATCAGAGTCCTCATACTTTATCTTTTTGTTCAGTGGCTTGTCTGGAATGTTTTTAGGCTTCTCATCCGATCCTTTCCCATCAACCAGGTCTTTGTAGAACTTTAGAAACAACAATGCAACAAAAATCTGCTGCTGGTTGCTTGGTTTTCAAAATTATATCACTGCATACTAAACTTGGGGCTGCAAAATTAGTTATGCCACTAACACTAGAAAATCTAGAAAATGTTCTAACTTAGTTTGTTTAATGCCTTTTATACGTGTTAGTAATACATAGAATCGCAACTTTTTTTAGAGTGTCCTTTTCTATTTTTTTCAAAGGACAAGTACAAAAACGAACCACCAATGCCTTTGGACCTATTGAAAGAGATGCACTACAGCAAAAAGAAAGGATTTGCTCCTGCAGTTCAATCTCTTATCGTAAGTAAAATCATACTTAGTTCACAATCTGATGATACATTAGGTTCATATATCATGATCATTGACCTATCTATGTCCCTTATGCTGCTAGGCTGAAATAGAGGAGAAGTTGAATGAACCTGTAGATGATGGTCTTCAACCAAAGGATGTGACTGATGTGGTCTCTCAGGCTCTTGTTCAGAAAACTAAGAAGAACAGGTTTCTTGTAAATGTGGGGCTCCAAAGCAATGCCACATGTGTTAGTGCTGAGCATGACCTAGAAGAGGAACTGGTGGTGGAGAAACAAACATCAAGTGATCTTAGGGAGGTTGTCAAGGCTCAACAACAGCAAATGGAAGAAATGATGAAGAAATTCCAGGGAGGCGAAGCGGCTAGGGCTAAGCAAGAAGAGGAGTCGAAGAAAAGGCAAGTGACATTGATGCATCGATCAAGACTTTGATGTCCATGGTTCCAGGATGCCAAGCAAACACAAGAAGGTTGTCTTGGGTTATCGGTACGGTGCACTTTCTTTGTTGGTTGCTTATTTTGGTGACGGATGTCTCTTGCTTTTGTGAACAAGTGGGCTGCGTCTTTTAGTTGAATTGATGCATGGTGTGAACTTATGTGTACTGTGAACGATCGCAAGAAGATGGTCTTTGACCTGTGCATGCACGGCTTTTGGTGATGGATGTATGTTCTGTGAACTATATTTAGATGTATGTGTGAACTGCAATGTACATTACGTGAACTACTGACATGGTCTTTGACCGATGCATGCTTTGTTGTGCCAAACTTCATATGTAACTATATTTAGATGTATGTGTGATGATGGGACCTTGGCATATTTATGTTTATCTGTGATGATCTGTGGTCATCTATGGCGATGTGAATCATGTGAATTTAAATTTGAATGTGTCGTCAATTTAAATGTGAAATTGATGTCCATTTAAATTTGAATTTGGTGTAATTTAAATTTGAATTTTTTGCTTTGTAATGTTATGGGCCACAATGGGCCAATTCTACTATGCAATTGGGCTAGCCCAATAGTGTGTACTAAAATATGGGCCCAACTAAATCTAAAAAATACACAAAACATGGGCCTAATTGAAGAAAATAGGCCATAAAAAGCCTCATCGATGATGTGGCAAGGTGGCAGCCTTAATGACATGGCAACAATTTGAAGTGGCAACAAAACCATGACAGTTCAGGTCATCACCATAGCCTCTTCCTATAGTTGCCCTCCGGTTTATCCATGACGATCCAAAAAACCAACCTATGACGTTCTATTTTGGTCCAAAAAAATGTATGACGCGGGATAGGTGACGTTTCACTGGACCGTCATCGATAGTTAACTGTGACGGGTTTTCGCTTGTCCGTGACTAAATCAAAACGTCACGTAAAGCCAAAATTCTTGTAGTGATTGGGCTAACTTGCCACGGGTATGTTGATGTGAGTGTTAGTAGGAAAATTTATGGAATCATAATTAAAGGATACACTCGAATATGATCTCTTGGTGTTGGACTTGAGTGTTGTCTTTGGTAGCCTTTGAGCATAGTACTCATCATCATCTCCATTCTCTGACTCGCTGCTTAGTTGTGGACTTGATTCCACTTTTCTTCTTTCTTTGTGTTTCTTCTTCTCCTTGTTCTTGTTCTATCCCTTTTCTTGTCTCCCTTGGAGAATCCCTTCCCATCGAGCTTGAGCTTTGGAAGTCGCTCAAGCATTGCTGTAGGATCATCCTCGGGGGCTTCTAGTTCTTCTCCACTTGGAACATCTTCATAACGTTCCTCTCCATCTTCCTCCGGTTCCCTTTCTCTAGGACTTGCCATTTCCTCACATGGTTAAGTGCTATCACGAGGAAACCTGCTCTGATACCAATTGAAAGGATGTAGCAAGTGGCGTAGAGGGGGTGTGAATAGGCCTTTTTCTAAAATTTAATCAACTTCACGAAACTAGTCAGAACGCGGAACCTCCGGGCCTGAGCATGGAGGTTCCGAGGTGCGAAGGTTCCTAGGTTAAGCGTGAAACCTCCGTGATCAGAGTATGAAATTGATCTACTATGGAATTTAACAAATAAAAATAGATCAAATGTAATACCAGCCTTCCTGGAGCGTATGTTGACCTATCCAAACCAGTGGCTCTACCTAGTTGTTGAAGGATTCGTAGATCAGGATGAAACCCTAGAAAACAATTCAAAACACAAGTAATAGCAACAACAATAACAATCAAAGAGGACACGAGGATTTATCCCATGGTTCAACTCACCACAAAGCCATGTCTACGTCCACATTGTTTTGGTTAGCCACAAAGGCTACGGAGTCTCTTTTAATCTTGCTCCTCTTCTCCAACCTATCACCATGGCAATAGATTGGAGGGTTCCACTAAGTCAAAAAGGGTAATACAAACGTCTTGATGCTCAGCCACAAAGGATTTGGAGCTCCCAGGTGACCGCTAGCCATCTAGGAGCCAAGCTCCACGAGTAACAAACACACCAAGCGACTAGGGCTTCACCAAGTGCACAAGAATGGAGAAGAAGGATCTTCTCGAGCTTTTTCACTCACTAGAGCCAAATCCCTCAAGGAATCATGGAAATCTTGAGCAAAGGAGTTGGGAGGCACTGAGCTTGAGAAAGAGAGCTTTTGTTTGAAGTGAATGAGTCAGGGAAGAAGATGACCGTTGGGAGCGCAGGGGTGAGGTATAAATACCCCCACTATCACCCACAAAATGGTTGGGTCTGATAGACCTCGGAGCCTCTGCGTTAGGAAGCGGAGGTTCCATGCAGACCAGAGCAGATAAGAATTTAGCTCAGCTGGCTTTTTGTGGCTGGGATTATTTGAGTTGTTGATGGAGTTTTGAGCACTTGGTTCCACCCAGCACACTATTAGTATCCCCCTTGATAGTACGGCTTATCCTATAACTCAATTTCAAAATGGAAATTGAAGTAAACTCGCTCTTGGAGCCCTTGCAAGCCATCCACTTGAATTTAGTGGTCTCCTCCTTTTATTGTTTGCATCCATGACTAATGATCCACTGTCAAACACTTAGAGAAGCCATTAGTCCTTTAATTTTGTCATCAACATCACCAAAACCCACTTAGAGCTTGATTGCACTTACAGCTTGACCTCTTCCCATTCATCCTAGGGGTCGTGATGGTGAAGAGGTCATGAGTCTTCTGTTCATTATGCGGCTGAGATAGAAGGAAGGGGTTGTGGCTAACCCTAGCTTTGGTGTCTGGCCTGGTTCGCTTGGCTCAGCTAGGCCTCTGTCGTTTGGGCCTTTGCTAGCTGATATATCGTGGGGCGCGTGGCCTGCCAACTAATAGGTGTCTTGAGACACCCTAGGGTTATAACCCTGATAGTAGCCCCCGAGCGTTTTTGCGATTATGAAGTGATCGTGAAAGCGCTATGTTGCGTGCATATCGAATGTGGGTTCGTAATTCGTGGCTTGTTCGAGCTTCGTCGCTTGACCCCTTGTGGGCTAGTGCGTTCAATGCGGTAGGTGGTTGTTGTGCTTTGCCCTGTCCGGATGCCCTGACAATGTGGTACGTGACCACTGAGCCCTGCGGTGTCAGTGTGCTGTGTGTCGAGATTCGTGACCCAGGTGAGACCGAGTGGTCTCGTCGATGCTATACCGGGCTTGTCTTTGGGAAGGTCTCAATTTCCCTGACCTCATGCGGGCATGTGGCATTGGTTGTGGCCTCCCGTAGTTCGCCATGAGGCGTGGGGATTTCTGGATATTCAGTCCTCCCTTGGGCCTATAAATATAGGCCTTCCTTCTATTTGAACCACTCATGGATGTGACTACAAATTGTTCCCTACCTTCTTGCCAAGAATGTGAGGAAATGGGGGAGAGAAGTTCAAGGAGAGCCACATGGCTCCCATCATACATCCCTCTGGGGGTCATTTGTGGTGGTTGTAGCCGGTGTCTCCCCTTCCAGCAGTTGGTGCTAGAAGGAGATTTGTGAGCGAGGGAGCAGGAGGTGTTGTATGCACCGAGTTCGGCCATACACAACCTTGGGCTTCCATCCCACCGCTAGTTCTTGCTCTGGACCTCATTGGTTCGGGTGCCCGAAGTGGACGATGGCTAGGGACATCTCCGACTTCCTCGTGAGCCCCTTGCATTGGTCGATGGTGCGTCGTGACCTTTGGAGAGGTCGCTTGACGCCTGCCTTATGTCATTCGCATAACGGGAGGAGGATGAAGTTGCACTGTCTTATCATGTTGCCTATGCTAAGCAAGGTGTAGTCATGACACGGGTGCACTTTGGTTACCGGCTGGTCTCCTTTTGCCATCGTGAGGATGGGGATGACTCCTGTTGGCTTGGCCAGCTCCATGCTTTCCAGGAGTGCTTCTTGGAAGTCTCTTGGTGCACACGAAGGGCCTCCTAGAGCCATCGGAGCCATCCTCCTTCTTCTCCTGTGCTCTGGCCGCTAGAGTATGATGCTTACAAGAGGGATGGTGGGGCAAACCTTGACCTTACCTTCCCTGCTTTCGTTGCATCCACCATTTGGCCTTTAGAGGTGCTACCAACAAGGTTGCACCGTATCCTTTGTACTTCTTGTTTTTTGAGCGGCACGATCGCTCTTGTACTTGTGGATATTAAGGTGAGAGTTCCCCCTTTCTCAATGTTGACGCCTTCCTTGCGGAGGCGGCGAGCCTCCGTGTTACAGGGGGTGGATTCGTGGGTTCAGCCCAAGGCCATTAGTGGGTCCTCCTCGAGCTGATGATGCGTGGAAACGCTTCCTCAACCTCTATTTGTCTGGTCGTGAGGCTTTTTGCGATTGCGCATTGGCTCGTAGGTCTTGGAACTTTGTTTCTTCCACATGACCAAAATGTGATCATGCTTTGGGCTCCGCATCACTTCATGGGGAAGACTCTAGTGCACCACCCCAGCCATTTTCTTTGTCAATCTATCCTAGAGACGTCGTAGACCTCTAATGGTTTATGAGTCTCCGGAGCTAGCCTTAGGTCTTACACCTAGGACTTAGGGAGGAGTTGGTCGAGGCTTGGCCCTGACTTCTTATGGGGTCACGAGGACCCGACTCTATTTTTCCCTAATGTCCTTGCTGACCTTGAGAGGTCATGTTGCCTTGTTACAGGTGGGTTTGGTTTTGCCCCACATGGGGAGAGGTATGTCCACTATAATCATGATGTCGGAGCGGTGCGCCTCATCGAGGTCAATGGGTAATTCGAGCAGGACCTAATATCCTCCCCAATCAACATGGAGTTTGGTTGTGCCTCATCAAGAGACGTCCCATAAATCATCGATCGTCAAACTCGTCGGTCCCCAACTGCCTCCACAGCGGACAGAGGATAAGATGCCTCCCCCTATAGGGGGTCAACCTAGGTGACTTTGAATTGGATGACTCAAACACAGAGAGAGATGGTCGTGTGGCTCCACACCACCGATTGGAGCCACAGGGGCCCATCTCCTCCCTGCCCTATCCCTTTTGTGGCCTTG